CCTTGGTTTCTGAGATCTCGAGGGTGAAATTGACCCCCACCCCCACCCGAACGAAAGATAGCCACCTAAGCGCCGGTTACGTAGCCAGAGGCTCACCTTCAACGGTGACAAGCACCAAACAGAACACGACAATCAAGGGTAACAAACGCATGACTAGTGAGAGGCTAGACACCTTATGGCCGAACCAACCTCGATCACCTTATATAGTGACAAACATGGGGTGAAAGAGGAGGGGGTGTCAATCATTCAGCCGCGTCCAAATGTCAGAAAACGATGCAGTTCTCAATGCTTCATGACATTTGCAGCGATGTGGTGACATCACCTGCAGTTGTTGTTTACGGGCCTCACCACACCAGACAGCGGACTGCTGCGTCTCTCAGCCCAGCCGCGGAGAATAACGGACGACACGGTTTCCCGAGAAATTTCAAAGCTACGTGAGCCAGACATGAAGCTCGCCGTCAAAAGCGGTGCTTTCCGTCACAGGTCTTATTTCGGATGTCAAACAGCACTTGAAGAACAATTGGTGGATCGATGCCGATAACACGTTGTAAGATAAGCGACAATGCTCGCACGGTATTCTGTGTAATCCTTCCGCAGCAGATCATCGCGGCCGGGTGTCGATGCTCGGCATTCTATAATGCATCCATATCGGATGATAACGTAAGTTTTCTATATGTACAAACGTGCACACACGCATGCATGCACGCGCGCACTCACACACACGCACGCATGCGCGCACGCACACACGCACGCGTGCAAGCGCGCACGCACACACAGTGAACACGGAATGCAGCCAAACGCACATTTTATACTAGAACGGCTTGACACAACTAACATGCCAGTGGAATCCAGGTGGCTGAGCCTATCAAAACGGTCCGGCAAACTGCATCCCTGGCTACTGGCTTCCCTTTCCTTTTCGTTTTACCGTGTCCTTGTCCTGGTCGTCATCCAGCCTTTTTAAGCGATTCCATATATCTGCACACGCGTCGGGCATAGCGTCAACCGTTGAGTTATAGATGACCGATGTCGACCGACGACATAAAGTTATCGAACTTCAAAAATACCAGCAGGCGCAGCTGAACACGTTGTAGAGCAAATATGGGTGATACCGACAGTATTCGACGTTTCAAACGTTGCTTATGATTACGGGTAAGAGTGGTTGTACGAGGTTAAATAAAATATTACACTCGTAAACCACAAACACGAATTCGCGGAATGCTCTGCATCCGTGCAGAGACTGTCACTAGAAGATGAAAGTAATGAAGAATTAGAGTGCACACATCCTAACCTTTAACCACGGCTCTATGCTGAGGGCTGCACGAGACACGGGCGGCGGAGGAAGGCCGTGGCGACATATGCCGAGTGTTTATTATAAAAATTATGCACCACGATAATTGGGCACCACGAACAACGCCCGAGCCACACGAGCATCCCAGGATTCCGGGTTACCTTGCCCTAACGGCCAGTACACAGCACTGCTGCCGAAAACAAGACGGCTAAGTCCACGGTTTTCGGTGGCCAGTACCAGGCATCAGCAGAAGAAAAAAATATGCGAGCGGTCACTTGAAATCGTTTGCGTGCATGAATAATGTGTCATTCGTGATACTGTAACTTGAATTCGCTTTAATGCCACATATTTTTGCACATTTAACGCTTAATTAACGTGCACCGCACCATAGAAATGGGTGGCTATTGCTCCTTCTTTTAATCAGCCTGAACGTTGGTACCCTGTGAAAACTGTGGCTCGCTGTTTTTTTTAAATCTGAAAAAATCCAGTAGGATTGGTATCAATTTGCAATTTGCTACTGATATTCGTTTCGATGAAGGGATGTAGCCGAAATATCACACATCTCTCCCTTCTCCTGTGTTTTCTGCATGAGAAAAGGACTGATTAATACTGCCTCATCCTCTATGTTTAATGTTTCTCACAAAAGCACTAAACAAGTTACGCATAAAGTAATGTTGCTGCTTACTTAAGTGCGAAAAGCAAAAACAAGCTCATAGGCTTTTTGTCGCCATGACCTGAAGCTCAACACACCGTCACTGACCTTGAGTAAACACCAGTGACCTTTGGTGAGAGCAGGTATCCAGATTCGAGGACGGCTGCATGAGGAGGTGTGAGGGCACTTCGGACACTAATCTAGAGAGCTTGACTTTATTTACTTTATTTTACCCGACAGCCATATCCTAAAAACTTCAAATTTTGACGCAAGTGAGGCCATCAAGGTCATTCTACGCCATGAATTATACTTCTAGGTCTCTTAGTTTTAAAGATATTAGTGGGGCTCTTCTAATTGACCCCCCACGAGCGATCATATTCAACCGGTCACCCGGGCGCGTGTTAAATGAGCACATTGGGGACGGACGTTTACGAAGATCGTGCATGAATAGCAGAGCCCTTGGTATATCTACTCGTAGTAATAGAGTAAGCGCATAAAACAAAGTTTAAAATACATTTGAGCAACAGTTGAAGACAATGCAGACCTCAATATATTAGAATCGCAGCACGTTCGGAATCCTTCGCCCCACAGGCTGAAAACGCAAACGAACACACACACACACACACACACACACACACACACACACAACACACACACACACACACACACCACACACACACACACACACACACACCACACACACACATACACACACACCACAACACACAATCATGCGGCCTGCCCTCAAGCAACATTGCTGAGATTACGCACGTTTCAGAGATAGCTATTTATTTGCTGCAATTAACACACATGAATGTTTGTTTCTACGAGGAATAATGACATTAATACTTGCCTCATAGGCGGCGGTGTGCAAAATCATTAGCTAGGCGGTATATAAAACCATGTTGATCTGGGTTATTTTAGGTCACCAACCTTGCCTGACCTATAAAAAGTCCGTAGAAGATTCTTGTGCGGTCCCGTCCATCAATAAACTCGAAGTTAGCAGCAGAAAGTATATCATACAGCAGGCTCTGGAGCAAACAAACAAGTTGTGTTGGACCTCGTTTTGACCTTCATACCTGACCCTAGGTCAACAGGATTTGTGTACCCCTAAATTCAAAACTTGTATTGCCTGCGAAACACTCTCTGGTGACGAGAGGAGTCAAAGTGATTACCGACCGTGGCACAGGTTAACCTTCTTCATTCGCTGTTTTCATGGCGCGGACTGGAAGGGAATCAATGCGCCCCTGCCCCCCCCCCCCCCTAGCGTTACCAAATTAAGACAGATATGGCTCAGCAGAAAATTCAGGGAGCTGGCCTTAGAGAAATCTCGCGATTGGTAGCGATTTGTATGTCGCTAGGTAAAAATTGACCCAGTTATGCCCAAGGGCAAAATTTTGCCCAAAAATCTCACTTTTTCAGCTTTACATCCTCATACATACGAGGTTTTGCATTGTAGAGACACATCGTCTAATCAAGCGTGTTCATTGCCCAATTCTTAGTGCAATGGCGTATAGTTGTATGTGTTTTCATCATATCTGGCGACGTATCGCTCCGTTAATGTATTAATGTCGGCCCGTCGCGCACGTTTCGCGACATCATCGGTCGCCGCCCGCCGCACGCGCAGGTCGCAGATTGGCGTGCAAGTGCTCCTAAATCTGCCCCTGTTCCGAAATCAGAAATGCTGGGGACACCTTTTTGGAGTCAAAACTACGCGCAAAAGATGCCCATAGTCTACCTAACTGAAAGTTGGGCGGGATTGCACACGAATGCAGGAGAGGCATGCTGTGCAATCACGCCCAGCACGTTGTGTAATCACGCCCAACGTGCTGTTGCAATCTCTAAAAACTTTAGAGGGTCGCTTCGACCTCCCACCTCTGTCAGAGTGGGGTTAAACAGCCAGAAATCACCAGAAAAGCAGCAGACGGCTCCATTATTGTATTTCGTACAGAACCTTATAAAAAGCCGCCGAATGTAATTCCGACATGCAGGCATGTCAAGGATTCTACACGGGCTTGCAAGAAGGCCACGAATTTGAAAACATGGGGATGTCACGCCCTGACAGTCACTGGGTGGCCTCAAACACCAGTCATCTTCTGTCGACGGCAGCAGCCGGCGGTCGGTGATGCAGTTGACTCTGTCTCGCGATGTTGTCCTGTTCACCCAATGCAGCACCAGCCCTTGTGGCAAGTATCCCTTCTTGTGGTGCAAATTTTCGGTTTATGGCATTTAGCTTGGCATTCCTCTGAAATGGCGGCGTGCGCTGACGTGATGTAGGTTGTCTGCATACGTATACGTGGTGAAGGCATATACATATCCATACGTGGTGTAGACATACGATAGCATGCGTTGTGTAGGTGTATCGAAGAAATATCCGTTGAGATGAGCCACGTATGCGTGCATATATACTTTATACTCATGCATACACTGCGCAACTCTACGAATATTGATTCAACTGACATAGAAATATGAATCACTTATGACAGTCGTTCTATGGTTTCAACAGAAAATACAGTAATGTATGGCAGGACACGCAGAAGCGCAACCACGAAAAGCTGAACAGAACCACGCAATGCACTTAACAGATTTCAAACTACGCGGCCAATAAACGACCGATGAAACGACCAATAATAAACGACCGAAACGGCCAATACACGAAATAGCTTACAGTCCAGGTCAAGCTCTGTTTACTGTAAGGCCATAGACGTTTCATCGGTACACTTCATACAACTACCCAGAGAGTACGACGTACATTTAGGACTTTTCGTCTAAAATAGCTATGATTTAGACAAAACCTTAGTGCAAATGTGTACTAAAATCATCGTACCAAAAAGCGCACGATATCGAAATAAGCTTCACAAGATAATGCTTCACAGGATCACAAATGAAGCTTTCGAAAAAAATATGAAGTGCATAACACGTAAGGAAATGCCTGGCGGTTCATACACGGGTTTTCTTACTGACGACCGTCTGCTATAGCTAACGCATCATGACGTGCAAAGCTACAACGTCGCCATGGCAACACGCTCGCTCAGCACCAAGTGGCAATAGCAGGGACATACTTTGTGTGTCGCCAGGAAGGCAGCAGAGACCGCTCCCTGCGGCCAGGGCACCAGCGGCAGACATTCCTCTTGAAGAACCCACACGCCTGCCCGAAGCGGCCGCAGCGGGCACCTGGAATGCGTCACGGTCTTGTCACCGTTGGAACCAGTCACACTTGTGACGCTTTAGAACTTAACTGTCACTAGGGTTTCACCCATGGAAAAGGGGCCGGTGATCTGAGGTGTTGAAGGGGGGGGGGGGGGCTTGGTAATGACAGTAATTCATAATGCCCATAGTTCCCCGTTTTTCAAGGCATGACCAACCAAGTTTCCGGAAAACTGTGTCATTTCCACTGTTCTAGCCTCTCTCACTTCCCAACACCGCCTACAAATACTGGTGTATCTGTACAACAGTCGTTGAAATCTGGAATGCTGGTGCCTGAGAGTTGAGCTTGTTATGCCTGCATTTTTATGCATACCAGGGCATATAATTTTGACCGTCGTCAAAAACTCACTTCAAGCTGTGACGTCAATCACAATTCGATATAGTTCCAAAAATTGCAGCTTAGCAGACTGTATGAACGGATGTTTTCAACATCTTCTGCTCAGTTTGCCTCCCGTCGAAACATTGTATGAGGCATAGAACAACACCTCTCGGTTTTTTATATTTCTGCAAGTGAATCAGGCATCTTCAGTGGCACGGACCGCATTCCTGCACAACATATAATTGCTATCCTTGCGCGTGTTATCGGAAATCGTGCGATGACGTTCTTTGGAAAGCAAACTGGGGTTGTGGAGAGAGGGGAGTATCAATACTTTTAAAGCTATCTAATTTCAGAGCTGTATGGATATTGTCATATCGGTGTTTACTCCGTGTTATCCATGCTACGCATGTATTCTCTTAGTGAGTCCTCCCATCCTGCAACAGTGGTAATTCTGACTACAGCCAGTCTGGCAGCGACTCTGATGTTTTAGAGGCGTTTCACGACGCAATCAAAGAAAGGCGCATTGTGGAGCAAATTTACTAAATGGTGAAGATGTTGTTTTCCAGACCACAATTTTCCACTTTCCACCAAATGTGAGCTTTTAGTAACAAGAGGTCGTGTTTCGTTACACGTGATGCCTACCTCATTATATTCAAGTATGGAGCATCTCTTCAAACATTCGTGTTGGCAATCATGTAGCACCAAATGTCCCTACGATCCTAACAATATCTTGATCACCGACTGCGTTTCGCTATAAAGATATAGGCATATGTGTAACTAGATACGTCGAGCATCATGCGGAGCTTTCCACTGATTTGTTCGTAGTGACTGCCTACATGTGCCGGTTTGCTTATAGTAAATGCCTAAAAATGCCGGTTTGTTTGTGGCGACTGCTTGGATGTTTCGGTTTGTTTGTAGTGACCACCTAGGCGACTGCCTGGGCGTGCCGGTTTGTTGGTAGCAACTGCCTAGGTGTGCCGGCTTGTTGGTAGCGACTGCCTAGGTATGCCGGTTTATTTGTAGCGACTGCATAAGTGTGCCGGTTTGTTGGCATTGACTGCCTAGGTGTGTCGGTTTGTTTGTGATGATTGCCTAGGTGCGCGGGTTTGTTGGTAGCGACTTGCCTAGATGTGTCGGTTTGTTTGTAATGACTGCCTAGGTGTGCCGGTTTGTTTGCAGCGAGTGCCTAGGTGACTGCCTAGGTGTACTCCGCGAAGAGCAATATCAGAGCGCAGCAGCAACACTGCACCAACAAAGAATTAGGAACTGATCGCAAGCCAGAGCATTTTGTGTAAGCCGAAAAATGTATGGGTTGGCGTTGCACAGGAAGACTCCTCCGTTTTGAAATTAATAAAGCAAAAAGACAAGACGAAACATCAGCGAAGTCGCTCAAGCAAAAGGCCTTGCGGACGGAGCTTCGTCAGTTAGCTCAGCCTCTTCATCGATGACGAAGGAATTTTGCGGCTTGGCGGCAGGCTAAAGATCTGAAGTGTCTTTCGAGTCAAGACATACTTCTCCTCTTCCACTGAAAGAATACATCAACAAGCAGGCCATTTCACAGCATCACGGGACCGGGGACAACGAAATCTGAATTGAGCAACTCTGGACTGGAATCGAGTTCGGATGTAAATCTGGAGCCGAGTTCGGATGTAAATCTGGAGCTGTGTTCGGATGTAAATCTGCAACCGAGTTTGTATGTAAATCTGGAGCCAAATTCGGATGTAAATCTGGAGCTGAGTGTGGATGTAGGAGCCGAGTTTGGATGTAAATTTGGAGTCGAGTTCGGATGTAAATCTGGAGTAGAGTTTGGACGTAAATCTGGAGCCGAGTTCGGATGTTAATTTGGAGTCGAGTTCGGATGCAAATTTGGAACCGAGTTCGGATGCAAATTTTTTTTAACCGAGTTCGGATGTAAATCTGGAACCGAGTTCGGACGTAAATCTGGAGCTGAGCTCGGATGTAAATCTGGAGCCGAGTTCGGATGTAACAACATTGTGCAGCTTCAATTGAAAGTAAGCTATCACAACTAATGTCTAGATCAGTCTGTTGCAATACATTGAGGCTGAGTGGATGCCTCGGGCAGAATACAAAGGTCACGAAATGTTGTACGATGTACTTATCGATTTAACACATAAAAAAAGGCAGCATACGTGCCGTTGTGTCCAATGCCTGCACACAATTGTTTCACCCACGGCGAATTATATACGCACTGTGAAGTGGGGACGAAACTGTTAATCGGCTGGGAAGCACAGCCGCAATGGATCGCGATCCAACCAAAAACGACCAAATATCCCTGCAAAACGTGAAATCAACATATAAAAGACCACCAGCAACTCACCTTCAGCGGCCACCAGCACCAGACAAAACACGACGACCAAGGGTAGCAGACGCATGGTTAACGACAGACGACTCAACACCTTATGCCCAGGCTTCTTTTGCTCACCTTATATAGTGGCCAACACGGATCAGGAACGGGAGGGAACGTCAATCATTCCGCGCCGGAAAAGTCAGTCCACTGTCAAGTCGACAATGCTCGTTGACATTTGCAGCATTATCGTCGCTTCGTAATACGCAGCTATGCCTCATGAACGCCACTTGCCGAAAGGAGAAGCACTACGCCACGCAGGACTGGAAAGAGCGCAATATGCTGAGAACAGGGTCATCAGAGTCGCTCAGAATGTGTATACAGCTGTATACAGCGGAAGCCACGCACATCATTCTACTGTCTTTCATACGGCTTGCCTTAAACGGCATAGGTATGCCATAATGTGAGCTATGACATGGGAGTTCTACGGAAGAACTCTACCAAAAGCCTTTAGATGCGCTGAGGTTTAAAGCTTGTATTTCAGCCTTAAAAGGCTGAGGACTCTGCGCAGGCTTTGGCAGCTACTATCACCAATAAGCTCTCTTCCTGATAGCGTTGACCTTAAGGCCACTAGCAATACAACTGTTTGATGGAAAGCGCTTCCTTTTATCGCATAAAGACCATTCAAGTGCTCTATCTTTTTGTTTTCAAGCTGCACGGTAAAGAAACGAGGCCTCCCATAGTGGTTCAATCGCAACATGTCTTTAAAATTAGTATTGCATAACACACGGTGCCTACGGCATATCAGCACGGAAGTAAACCAGCCCGTGCCCACTGCTCAATGTTAACCTACTGCAGACATCATGGATGACTCTCCTGGGGTTGGCCCTGGACCCACCGCTACTCGTCCTGGGGGCGGCCTTGTAGCTGCCGCTAGTCGTCCTGGGGTCGGCCCTGGGGCTGCTGCTGGTCTTGGCCGGAATTCGCCCGGTGCTGCTGCCTCCCGCGCTGCCGATCAGCACCCAGCTCCTGCGCTCCCAGCTAGCTATGGTAATATCGGAAGGCTGACTTTGAGTTCCGATATTGAGAAAGAGGAATCTCGCAAAAGTGAAGCGGGTAAAATCGAGGTTAAGAAATTTCAGACGAGGGTAGCCTAATTTAGGTCATCTAGGCTCCCAAGGCCGAATTTCAAAAGAATGAAGCCCAGAAAGCCGGCGAAGATGATATCGAAAGCTATGGTACAGGAGAATACGGCACTGATGTCGGCGATGAGAAGGCTTATATCCAAAATTTTGGGCTTAAGCATGTTGGATCTGCTTTTTAGATTACGTGGTATCGACATACAGTGGTTATGTCAGTTGAAGACGAAATATTTGTAAATTTTAAAACGATGCAGATTAATTTCGTTTTCGGTTGTTTTGGGTAAATCTTTCAATCATCTTTTGGACAAGTGAAATTGAAATATGTTTGATGGCATTGTATTTCATATTGTTAAAGCAGTGGTTCATTACCTATTAACTCGTTGTTAAGATGCAAACCTCAAGTTCCAGGCTAATGAAAGCCAGCTCATAAAAAACACACTTGTCTGCACATACTACATACCAAAGTCCCTCACGGAACACTAGCTCGATACTTTAGCAGCTTTGTGTATAACCTTTTCCAAAGAAAAACATTGCACAACGCACAAAACATTTCAGTGCGCCACGTTGGAGACAGATACCACGAGCAAAAAAACTACCGCAGCAACACAGCGTTGGTCCACCTTGAACTGGAGTATTGTGAAGCTAAGAACCCTTACGAATTTATTTCCTCTCGTCCACGAAATTTTTTAGTGACGTTAACCCACAATCCCATTACGCCACGTGCAATCTCGGCCGCAAGCACCTTGCACGTGTCTATCGGCGAACTCACAAACAGTGCATCTCGTGTTAGATGATCATTGATTGCCTATTTTTCTTTACTAGCTCAGCATTAATCTTACGAAGTTTGCTTTGTTATAGCACTAGCATTAATTTCAGCCTTTGCAACCTGACTGCATCAATGATTCATCTTCCAGTACCCATGAACACCTCCCACCACTGTTTGTTCCTTTAGTTGTCTTTGATTCAGTTCTGACTCGTGGCGAACTTTTTCTCGACTGAATCCTACCCAGGTGATTGCAGCAGTTGGAGAGTGTTCGCCCTCTCACGCGGTCTACGCTGCACCGACCAGCGCCCCCCCCCCCCGGCATTGCGACACGGGTATTATTCGCTTCTAACTGAATTTTTCTTATTTTTTCGCTTTTCAATAGAACCTTCGGTCCGGATGGTATGTTCGTATGGCATGACCTCCTCTTCATGTCGCTGGGGTAGTCCTCTGGTTCACCGGGCACGCGGAAGCGTGATGGCTCCAGGCGCAGGCCAGTGGTGTCACCTAGGGTGTCGGACAGGAAGCGTGTGGTCAAGACTTTCCGCAAGGGTGCCGAAACATGAACATCTGCCCGGTAAATACTGTGTGCTACTAACGTGCTGCAGACAAGAAATGCCCAGGTTATGCACTGATTCTTTGAAAAAATACATGATTCTAAATTACATTGACAACGTAAGCTGCAGAATGCAGTTCTATTGAAAATTGTTTCCAAAATGCAGAAGGATATTCGGTTATCACGTGTTGCGCGTAAAGCAGTTTACACAGAGCCTACAGCCTGAGGTTGCACAAATCAGTATACTTTAAAAAACCAATACCGCAATGACAGTGACAAAATAAAGCACGTCAATATGCTGTCAACCAATCCAGTAACTGGTCGTTTTTAAAATCAAAACCAAATGGAAAAAGTATTGGACATGCTCTCCACATGCACATTAGGGTGTGTCATCGAGGGGGTGAATCTCTTGGAATCAGCTGAGACAAAGTTTTTCCTTGGCACACGGATTTATGATTAAATTCCTGGTCTGTCGTACCGCACCAATGTTGATATTCGTGAGGCGAAAACAGTTTTTCTTTGATAGGCCAAGAAAATCGCTATTCCATACTGGCGCCACCTATTTTACGCACTGAGATCATCCTCCAGCAAGCCTCAAAGCTGCCACTTTCTACACTACTGGTACTTGGGGAATTAAGTATGAAATAGATATCATGAAGAGCACCAGCAAAATATTGCCAAACAGCTTTTAAGCTGACTTTTTAGTAAATAACATTGGTTTTTGGTAAACCCCAAAGCTGTAGAGTTATGAGAATGCCCCAGCAGACCGGCTTTGGTTCAAGTTTGTTATTGCTAACGCATCATTATGATGTTGATTCGCAATTTATGTGCTTTTTGCGTGGTAGATATGGGCTTACTAGTTAAGTTTTGCCGGTACTGAAACATTTCTTTCGAAAAATTGCTTGCATAAACATGCCAAAGGCTACACGGTCGCGCACAAAACATTTTGTGATAGGCCACCCAGCTCGTCTGTCCCACCACCAACTGCCGACTACAGGAAAGCCTTCAGCTGCTTCAGGTGGCTGAGCGAATCGAAGAGGAATCTCACTAATATTAGCTTCAAGACCGCGACGGTAGAAATCAGCGCACTGTGGACCAACGGAACGATTTGTGTTCGTGATCTAAAATACGTGACAAAATTGATCGAGAGGGATTGATGACATCCAAATAGAGCCACCAGCAAGAAATCAAAGAAAGAAAGAAGGTGACACAGCAACGCCGCCACCACGAAATTCAACAAGCTTCTTAATGTTGCGGAATGTCAGCGCAAGCCTCAGTGCAGCTTTCCATGCCCAGTTGGCTGCGCAATGTATCAGGAGGATTTGCCATGAAGGACCAGTGCAGGTACGGGAAGCTTACCCTGGGGTTTTACGACCGGGATATGATTGTGACTAAGGAGGCTCGCGAGGTGCGGAGGATGACCAGACAACTCAAGGGGCGTCGTGGCTCGGCCGCCAGTGAGGCGGTGTCTGCTGCTGAGCCCGAGTCGTCTTCCCCGCCGACTGCTGAGCCCGCGCCACCTGCTGAACCAGCACTGGCTGCTAGTGTTGACCCCGAGCCTGCTCCGGGACCAAGTGGTCTCAGCGCTTGCGAGCCAGCCGAGAGCACGGATTCTTACACGGTTCCGTACGTGGTAGAAGGTGGCGACGGCGCTGATTGTTCGTCCCGGTTGAGACCACTGTCACTGTAGATTATAGCGTCAGGGAATTGCCTAACACCGCTCTGGCGGTTGGCAGCTATGGTGGCTGGGCTACTCAATGTGCTCGGCTGCGATGGCACGGCCTTCAACACCGAAACGATAGGCGGCATGTTCCGGCTGTTTAAGCTGGCCACCGAGTCACCCGTACACTAGTTCGTCTGCCAGCTGCACGGCAACGAGCTGAGCCTCCTCCATCTGCTTTTGAGCTTGGACGGCACGACCACAGGATCGATTTTTTTTCTGGACCCATCGGCGAGACCTGTGCCGGAGAGGTCTGCACGTTATGGCATTCAAGCCTAGGTCGGAGCACTTGCCAAACCTGTCGGTCGACCTGATTCAGCAGCTGAGCACCAACTAGTAGCTGCTGTACCTTCTATCCTCCGGCGTTCAAGACGGCTCTGTCCGAAACGTGACAGCCCAGTGGGAAATCGGGCCATGGAAACATGCCACGTAAATATGAAAACGCATTATCTTAATATTTATAGCAAGGAGTGTTAAAACTTCATCAAGTGTCAATGGATATTCCATTTGTTCACTGTTGAGTATTGACTCATTATCATGCCTTGTTCTGTAATCTCTCGCTTCATTTGCTCGTTAGTTCATGCTTACTAGTAAATTTGCTGATATGTGTTCCGTCGCATTTAAGGGCTCTGGATATTGGCATAATTGCATACACTAAAAGGCGCAATAACTTGTGTATGATCTAGTGTATCTAAAAAAAGTGTATCTAGTGTATCTAGTTCGTAACGAATTGTTCTAGCATATTCGCTTGTGTTTCAGATGGTTGAACTGGCCGCTTGCCTGCTCCTAGTTCACATCTCTACCGAGACCCCCAGCAGCGCTCTCAAGGACCTCGTCCAGTGCGTTGTGGGCCACTACCTGTCGGTATGGTCCGCCATCCGGCAGAGTAGCAACTGCTACTTTGGCTTACGCAACTTGCTCCGGAGCATCGCGCTGCTCCGCGAGCTGCCACGGCATACATAGGCCACGATGCAGTCAGACCTCCAGCGTAACGGGTACTGGTTCCGTCCAGAACAGCTGTTGCTGGACATGGTGTGAGATGAGAATCGCATGATACGCGAACAGGCGGTTCCGATCGTCGCGCCGCTCGTGAGCAGCAAACCGAGGGTCTTCTTCGGCCCAGGGTCTTCGCCATCTCAGCGATAAACTTCAATACCCGTGAGGCTCGCCGAACTGATCCCTGGCACGGACCAGTCACACATTCTCCACTGCGGGACCTCGGCGACTGCGAGCTGCGGAACAAAGTGCATGCTCCGCTGGCCATCTCGCCCTATCTGGTTTACACAAGGAGTGCAATCAGCGCCGCACTACCGAGGATGTCTTGGGCTGGAGTTGGAGCTTCGGCAATGCGTGGAGCCTAGCTGCGACGGTATTTCTGCTACCGTGCGATCTCTGGCAACACGCGTTTTGGGTTTCCAGGCTGTGAGCAACTGCTGTTTGGGTCGGTGCATCGAATACGCAGGGTCGGCAAGGAGCAGGATGTGCATGGGGTCACCCTTCGCCCCCCCCCCCCCCCTTACGCCCGTGGTACTGGCTGTAGGACTTGCTAAATGTATCAAATTGTACACCAGACAATATATTCTAAGCCATATGCTTTGCAGAGTTATGTTTGCGTTGCGTGAGTTGTCTTAGAGAAGTGAAAGTTTAAAGCAATTCTAACCAGCATACTCGTACAACGAGTTCATACTCAACAGCACATAAAGCTTCCGCCAAATGACAATTAATCGGGCAATGTCTGATCCGCATATTAGACCTTAGACCGGGATTTTCTCGTACGACAGCTTAAAGCGCGCTCCGGAAGCATCGTTTCTATACGCAAAGGTATTTTGTGTCGCTTGCCGTCCACGGCTGGTGTTACTTGCGGCAGCGGATGTCGCCCAGCATGGGTAACTGCAACGCCGGGCGGCGGCTTACGGTAATATCTCTATCGACTCGCGCTTCACGAATTTGAGTTTTTGGGAAGACATTTTGCTATGCCGTGCACTTTAAGGCTCCTGTGCCAAATAATTTCTTTGTCTCGCTTGGTTTTGTTGCTGATTACACACCCTAATGCACATGGGTGTCGGTTCGGAAACAATTTTGACATTGGCCACATCTGCGAGCGCTAGAAGGCCGTTGCTCCTAGAGCCCACAGAGCACCGGGACGAAAAGCGGGGAGGGGTGGCCGATCTGCAGACTTCGTCTTTCCAGGCAAAAAGTCCGTGTCTTGGTCTGCATTGCTACATGGCCTCGATGTAGCCACTGGAAATGTCGCTCAGTGGCGCCATCCTTGACGCTAGCAGCGCCTAGTCTTAATTTAATGCTGGCTGTCACCTGCCGTGCGATCACTACCGCCATCTGGTATTTTTCGCGATACCATGCCTCAATAGCCACCACTGCGGCTTGCCAACATCAGACTCTACACTAGCACAACAGATACAAACAACCAGCGTCCCATAATTGTATTCCATAACAAGCTCTATTACAGATAGCCACGCGCCCGGTTGGCATGAATGTCTGCCATGAATTACGCACCACCTTGCGAGTTGCCACCAACTTCAAATCCCGTGTGCATGCAGTTTCTTCATATCTGGCATGACTGCAGTCATTAGGCATCTGTTGACGACAGCGGCAGCCGGCGCAAGTGGTGCAATTAACCCTTTCTGCAATATTTGCCTTTGCAGCGGACACAGCACCATCCTTTGCGGCAGGTGCCGGCTTGTGTGCTGCAGAAGCCAGGGAAATGGCATTTGGCTCGACATTCAACTGAAAGAAGAGAGCGTGCGGCTGTTGTTGGGCGTGTGGTGGCAATTCTAAAGCAAAGCGGTGGTACGTAAACAACATTTTCTCGGTTGTCTGAACTGTTCCATTTACGTTAACCATCCTATTGTTTCAACGAGGCCACATTGCAGATGTGAATACGTGCAGTGTGCGAAAAACCACGCTGTGCGAAAAAGCACAATGTGCTAACACACACAAAAAAGTAATAAAGCGAAAAGTGACAAAGCGATAAAAACGGAGACAACTGATGTGCTCATGCCGTAAGTGATGTTTAACGGGTGAACTATCGGCACGACGCATGACGGGAGTTGATCAACATTTTACAGACGGCCATTCGCTTCATATGGAGTTTCGTGGTATATAGCGTCACAACTACATCATCATGGCAACGCATTTGCTCTGTACACGGCGGCAACGGCGGAACATACCGAGGGTGTCGCCCCGACGGCAGCAGAGACGCTTGGAAAACCAGCACCGGCGGCAGACTTTTGTGTTCCATTTCCCGCACGCCTGGCCGTATTTTTGGCACCTTCGGCCTGAAACGTATCAGTTGTATCATTTATAACGCATTATTTGCATCATTTTTATCATAAGCATCAGTCGTATCATTTCCTACCCTCATTGCGGCTGGCACCAGACACAACTTTGCACACAAACCGTCCAACAGCCAGAAGAAACCAAGTGGCTATCTCTACTTCACTTCTGTGAGAAGGACCGATGATCTGGGATGCTGAAAACTGATAGCGGCGTTACATGTGCTGCCTGTCTAGTGGTGCTCGCGGGGACCAAGCGAGTTATCTTAGGTCAAACCTTCAGCGCGCTGAATGACACTGACCGGAGGCTGCCCTTGGAATCCCGCCCGGGTATTTTCTTTGACTCCACCCTGACTGCAAGGAAGTACTTTTTGCGTCCGTGACGTGTGCAGCCCAGATATGCCTCATCACAGTTCACTTTAGACTTGCCTCCGCTGATTTTGTGAGACGATATCATTTCGGCTACTCATCCCGTGGTGTTGCACACCCTAAAGCCATGTTGCTGTTCCCTTTCCATAGCCCCCATACATTTCAGACTCTTTCTTGCGTTGCCATATGGACATGCCAGAATATTTTGGTAATTGCGGGATATGAGATTCCTGGTGTGACCAACAGTCCAGCCTAGCCATGGCTGTTCTGTGCGGCACTACAGCGTCACCCTCTCCGACCGAGGGGGATGCATGCTTTTGAACTTCTCGAGGTACTCATGCAGTAATCGCATATCTACCGAAGAAATCACCTATACATTTCACGCGTTTTACTTACGCCCCTATGACGAAAGGCACCATTTCCGGATATGCGTCCGGTGTCAGTGATCAGCGATAACGTGCAGACCAAGCTGCTGTAATACATCATCGGGGGAATTCACAATATCCCAAGGGTCACATTCCAACCGAAGGCAACCGACAATCCCTGGCGAAAATTAATTCATAACCTCAAACTCCACCGGCAACTCACCTCCAGCGGCCACCAGCACCAGACAAAACACGACAATGAGGGGGAGCAGACGCATGACTGGCGAGAGACAGCTCAACACCTAACGCCGGACCGTCCTTTGCAATCACCTTATATAGTGGCAGACCCGGATCAGGAACAGCGTGGGGACGTCACTCGTTCCGCCTACTCAAACATTCAGCAAAGCCTATCAAATCGGCCATGTTCGATGACATTTGCAGTTGAGTGGCGCTGTCATTATCTGCTGCGTTTGTGCGGGAATGTCAGCATGGCGAACTCTTGACTGCTGCGTCACACGGGACACAGATGACAACTGCGACGCGGCCTATCGAACGTGCCCTGAATGTACGTACATACTGGCCTGGACAACATGCGTTTTACTCAAAATCGCTGACTCCACGCGTGGATACCGAGGTCAACGTTCAGCAAGTTGGGATAGAGATATCAAGGTTAAGAAGGTATCAGTTCGGGACACCGAGGAGCAGTCCTTTGACACTGATAAGGCTGTTGTCTGAATGTTGGGACTTTGAATGTCGAAATCCACTGTCAAATAACCTGACATTGATAGAGTGTGTTGTTTGAGCCTGCAGGACGCTGGGACCGCGACCCACGAAGGTCGACTGACGGCGCCCTTGACGGTGCTGTTAACGAAGATCATTCAGAGTTAGGGCACCCGTATCTCGACCAACCGGTCCATCTGACGTTGCTATCCCCATTCAAAATGGCACCCAGCGGTGCAGGCCTGGATGGAAGTGCATCAGCAGGCCAATTCCAAATGATGTACTGCGAGTTCATTTTGTCGCGTAACGTTATGTCGTTCGCATCTTATGTTTGTCTCCAGATGGCAAGAGTGTTATGATGATAATTCATGGGAATGGATTATGGTCGTTGTGTTTTGGCGCCTTCACCTATTTGGTCTGATGTAACATACCATTGGTCTTACAAGTCGACGTTCATTAGCGCCTATGTCCAGAGTTTTCCGAGAGCTATTCAACGCAGTTTTCTTAACTGGCCTAGCATGTTAAGTTCATTAGGTAGCATGGGAGATATGTAGGTTTCACATTTAATGGTCTTGAAGCAAGCATCAGATGTGATGAAACAAGCTCACATATAACTATTCATATGCTTTTTAAGTGGAAAAGACTGCTCAAGACAGCGTAACTCTCTGTTTGGAATATATACCTCTAATACTTCATGCTTTGATTACGTCATCATGCCTTGCACAACATTGTTTGAAAGCCAATTGACGGCAATGATATCTGGAGACGTGCTCACGAACACCAGACATGAACGCTTCGACACTGAAATTTGTGCTGGCCTTGATCTCCGCATGGCTTATGGAATGGCGCATTTGAATGACGTTATTATAGAGTCATTAATGCCAAGATGACTTTGAAATGCTCTCCCCGATACACCCTTCCCCATTTTCGAAGGCGTGTAACTTAGAAACTAAAGGAGATTGGGCCTTGAGAAGGGCAGAATTGTAAACAGCACTAAAAATATTCAAGATGGTTATTTCAGTTTAAAACCCCATGTAAATGTGGAACGCTCCCTTTAAGGTAGAGGCAGAACGGGTAGGTTTTGATCGAGAACATGCGCACTATCTTCCCTTGACCGATTCGAGGCCCCTCGTTGACACAGAATGCCCTGATAGAAACTGTGGGCCCCTGAACGATGCAGAAGCCCGACCAACGCAAACTGCGGGCCCGGCCTTGTCCCCGCTGGGAAATGGGCCCCCAGAGCTCAGACCAACACTGAGCCAGTTGTTAACTGCTCGTATCCCTGGCAAAAATAGAGAAACCTTCTGTCTCAGGGTTCCCATCAGTGCAAGAGATCATCTTACTGACATTGGAGATCACGACCCGATTGTCGGGGTCCTTAATATGACCTACAGACAGCCCTCCGGACCCTTCAGCCACCCCTTCGGACCCTTGATCTTTGCTCTAGAAGCCCTTCGGGCCCTCTTAAACAACGCTCCGACTCGGGGCCACTTGCCGCCACAGGACCCCAGTTCGGCACTGCGGCCCCTAACAGGGAGTCTGTCTGACAGGGAGTCAACTGTTCGGTGTTCGTGGTCTCTGACCGACCGAAACACCCGCATTGTCTCAGGGATTCCTCAAACGGTGCAAGAGGATCTCTGACTGGTATTTCATGTCATGTCCCTACGAGCCGCGCTTTTAATGTGACCTGCAGCCAGTTCTTTGGGCCCTTATGCTCTCCAACCGGGCCTTTGATCGTCGGCCCCGGTGGGCCGCCCGGCCCCCTCTTCGGCCTCATCGAACACTTCCCTTGGTCGTCTCGGGGCCCTTGCGAGCACAGGGCCCTCTGTTAGGCGCTGTGGGCCCCTGGCAGATGTAAGACCCAAGACCAATGTGAATCACTGTCCCCCGGCTTTATATATATATATATATATATATATATATATATATATATAGCTGATTAAAAAGTGGGTCCTCAGGCCCGTACCGACATGGAGTCGACTATGTGGTACGGTGGTATTTGACCGACATATCGACCCATATCGTCTCAGGCTGTCCCCGATCGGCGCAAAGGGCCCTCTGACCGTTATTTGAAGGTCCGTCTTTGCAGGTCGGGGCCCCTGAATAAGACTCCGACCAGCTCTTTAGGCCCTTAGATCCTTCAATCAGGCCTTGATTGTCTGAGCTGGTGAGTTCTCTAGGCTGTTCGGGCCACCTCGAACACTGCCTCTGGCCGGCTCAGGGCCCCTTGACAACACAGGGCCCCTGTTAGGCGCTGTGCGGCCCCGGGCAATTTAAATCGCTGGCTTCGGCTTTGTCCCAGCTTGGGAAATGGGCCTTTAGGCCCATGCCGCCACGGAGCCGACTGTGCGTTTGTAGTGGTGCCTGACCAACATATAGGCCCATAGTGACGCATGGGATTTCCGATCGGTGCAAACTGCCCTCTGACTGTTCTTTGAGGCCCCGTCCCCGCAGGCCGCGTGGTGTCTGACTGAAATATAAGAAGACCTTGTCGACTCAGTGTGCTCCTGATCGGCGCGCAGGGCCCTCTGGCTGGCATCGCGGTGCAAGGCCCTGCGAGTCGGGACCCCTGAATAAGACCTCCGGTTGGCTTTTCGGGCTCTTCGGGCCATCAAATCGCGTCCTGAATCGTAGGCTCCGAGGGGCTCTTCGGGCCCCCCGGAACCAAAGAGGGGAGGGGGTGCACGTGCCTCCCGTGTCCCCGTACGTGCCATACTGAAAGGGGCTATTTAACGTTGAAATGGCAGTGTCATGGGTGGTGCGTGTGTACCGAGTATTGTGTTAGGAGTAAATGGGGTAAGTGCATTATTGAATATATGTGCATATTTTTCTTGATTTTTCCAGATCAATTGCTGGTTCCACCCCTGAATTTAATGACTGATTTTTTGACATCACTTATTTTAGGCATGTTAAATGCCGGTTCGATACAGGTACTGAAAGGGAGAAACAGGGCTCTGGCAGTGTTCTTGTGTATTTAATTCCTGAGTAAAGTCGAGTGCTGTGTGGAGACCAAATGCTAGCCGCTATTTCAACATATCTGAGAAAGCTAGTCCTTATCAGATCTGGTGCCAGAATTAGCTCTGCTTTTTAATAAATAAGCTTAATTTAGCAGCACCTTTGTCAATAAGAAAGGCGTCTTCCCAAATTGTCTTCTAGGTAGCGCTGTAACCTGAAATATAGGAACTACATACAAATCATCACCGATCCTCTTGCCTTGCATTTAGCTGAAAATATAGAATTAAGCAGCCCTCAGATTGCTACTGCCATTCTTCTTAAGCTGGCATGTTGCAAAATGAAGTGCCTGCAACAAGGACAAAGTTGTGCGAAATTACGTCCCTGTTAGGTTAGGGTGAGCTGATCACGGAAAAACGACAGAGCCAACCTCCAAGATATTCCAACACATAGGCTACTCCTTAGATTTTGCCCAACTTCTGCCCAAATTGGAGGGGCCTGGTGCCCAAGTTGGGAACCGAAGCCCGCCCCCTCCTCAACTGAAACGGAAATTACACTTCTGGTTTGGAAGAAGACCAATGAGTTCATTGCTGGTGCAAGGCGTGAAATGTTAACAATGTGGGTACGTTGAACTGGTTCTTGAAGATCATGAAGTGTCTAAATGAGCCCACGTCGCTTATTCCGTCCCGGTGGATCAGTTGGTTTGAGTGTGTGCCTTCTGATCCACCCACCCGTGGCGGATTGAGTTCAGGTCGGTTTCGGCGCTTGCTATTTTTTCTTGACTAGTATTTGCGCCCGGTGACAGCGGCCACGAGAAAGGTCAGAGGACGTTAAAGGGCAGGACGGGTGGTGCCGAGCATCGTGGCACGTCTTTTTGCCACCAAATTCCGTCAGGGACATGGAATTGCGCATTCGGGTGATCGGGGTCGTGGCTCGCACAGCAGCCACTGCTTGGCGTGAGCTCTAATCCCAAAAATCCATCTATTCAAAGGGCTCAGATTAGATCTCTAAAAATGATTGCTAATGCAGAGGCGTGACTGTTCACCGCATTCAAAACTGCTCGACCACAGTCACATGAAATCAAGTGTCAGCTTAGTTTCAGGTGGGTGCAGCTCAATATGTCAGCTTGGTTCCCATTTAGCTGGAGCTCCCATGCCTGTCTTGAGATATTTCTCCAGGAGAAATCTCTAGCGACTTGCAAACCAAATAGACGCGCGGCCAAGGCGCGCGCGGTGACTGGCGACCGGCGGCCGGCTGCCACCTGGTGGTTGGCGGCGCGAAGGTCGTCTGGTATGTCATGTCATTGGGGCCTTCAGGACGCACTCAGCTGGTGAGGCTATGTGGAGCGGCCTTTGTTCTATGGCATTGGCGTCGCCTGCCTCTCACCCTGGCAGGAAGGGCGGGCAACCCAGGGAATCCAACCCCGTACTTCTGGCTTCCCAGACGCGTAGTGGTTAACGCATACGCGTTGACCGTTTACCGCTACACCACGGGCACCCCAAGGTCACATGGCATGTCCAGCCCCTTACATTTAAGAAGGGGACCAAAAACAGGTGTTGGCAGCTGTAGGCCTGCCGTTATCACCCCACTAGCATCTAAAATCTTGGAGAAATTACTTAAGTCCGGTTAAATATGGACATTATGCGCGATGTTTTCAGTTTTAACTCATTTTGATCTTCCAAGTTTTGCTTGGCTATCTTATTGAACTGCTGGCTCCCAGCATACAGGATTGATATATAATCCACAGAATTTCTGAACTGATTTGGCTGCAGTTCTATAAAAAGCAAGGAATATGACTCCAACATTAACCACTAATGTGACTGATGGAAGGTGGTAATCATGCATCCTGCCTTCTGTGGCTGTGGTGCCAGGACACTGCGCTGGGCACATGCAGTGAACTCAAGACATCAGCTTGTGGCAGCACTGGGTAATGCTTCTGTAGATGCCCTGGAGGCAGATGTCAGCTCACTGCCTGCTGATGAGCAAGTGCCTGTTATGCTTCACCCACCAGCAAGTGAGTGATGAAACACTCCTGATGTTCTTGCCACTGGCAGGTAAACCATTTGATGGCTCACCTGTCTTACCTGGTTAAGTTGGCATTTTTGAAAACATCTATAGTCTCTTCATTTGTGGCAGCCCATAGAGATACACTTTGTATCCATTAATTATACCCTTACACCTCCCAGCAATGCATCTTTTACCCACCCAGGGTGCATTTTTACCCATCAGTGATGTACTCTTTACCCACCACAACCATGTTAAAAATTGGAGAAAGCATGGCATGCTTCAGCTGCTAGTCATTTTTATATTTCAGTGACATCAGGTACACTCATCTTACACACACCAGTGCCATTGCTTGGTGAAGTGTTTGTGACCATGGTATTTGCTGGCACCAGCTGAGGTGGACCTTACGGCAGCCCAGTTCCTGGCCATTGTGCAGCGGTTTGGCACACAGAAAATCCTCAAGCTGGACCTGAAGACTGACCAGATCATTAAGCAAGTGGTGGACATCATCCTGCATCACCACCTGACAGTACATGAGTAGGAATACTGCTGCTAGTGGTGCAGAATGTGGTGTAGGTGCACCATTGGCTGCACCAACAGTTGACTTGTACATTTTGATAAAACAACTTGGCCTGATTTAACATTGTACTACTGAAAGGTGTTTACTCCAGTGCACTTGTGACACCATCTGTTCTCATTAGTATCCAACCACAGTCACTGCATAGTGGTCACGCTACAAAACAAAAGCCTACTGTAGTGGAAGTAGCATAAACTGGCAGCTTGGGGTTTATTGTTGATTTGTCATGTTTGGGTTAACATATTGATGGATTGAGGCACTGGGTTATGTTGTGTTGCATGGAAAAATATGTGCGACTTAGCTTCCCCAGATTTTTTAACATCTATGACATAAAATCTGACTGAGCTTCAAGCACTTGACTGCACCACAGAAAACTTGTCATGCCTCATGACAATTCTGCTTAGTCTCTCATTGCATATTCTGAGGACTAGGAGATAGCCATGGTGGTCATCTGGTGCATCTGAAGATATGAGGTGCCTTTGTCTCATACTCTGTGAAGTTATTCAAGCATTGCCTATTTGGTGTCTTCACAGGAATGATCAGTTTACATTTCCCCAGAACATGACTCCACTGGTTCTGAACGCCGACGTGGTGGGCAGCGCAACCGAGGTGCCCGCTGTGGACGCCCACACGCTGCTTACCCAGCTGGAGCGCCTCCAAGCTACTCGGCTGCCACCTCTCGTCTCGCTCGGCTGGTGCCCACCTAGCGAAGGCACGCGAAGCCTGACTTTAAGTCAGATCTCAGAGATGGCGACACTGGCGCGTGGCCGCCCTGCCACACTGGCAGTTCGCGCGGACGTGGCGTTAGCTTCGGAGGAGGCGTTGGCGGCACTGATGGGTGACCTGCCCGGCTGCGGGGTCACGCTATGGGCGCACGATGGGGACTCGGTGTGCCCTGAAGGTGCACGGCGACTGTTGGAGCGTTTGAGGCCAGCGCCCGTTTGGCTGGATATGCCCCCCAAACTCCTGTCACATTTTACTGCTTCGTGAGCAGGGGATAGCATGTGCAATCATGGCATATGGTTGTTGATTGTTATAATTTTTGCTGCAAAGGACACGGGGATATTCGCGGTGATATTATTATTATTATCCATGGCACCAAGTACCTGAAAGGGCGACCGCCGGCAAAGTTCCTTCATTTGCTTTCAGCGTTGAATCTATGGTGGGGCGACGTTTCGTCGTGTCAGACAAAGTTTTGTGGGTTTGGGTTGCTACGACCGTGGTTTTGGAAGTCCTTCTTCCCGTTTCCCTCTGGGAGGTGCTCATCACAAAGTGCGCTATAACGGCATGGCAGGTGTGTGCGTCGGTTCGGTCCCGCGAGCGCGGTTCGGGTGGCCTCCCCCAGCGATAGCGCCTCGCAGCTCTGTATCTGTTTCCGTCTCCGTCTACATCTCAATCTCCGGCCTCCGCCTCCGCCACCTCCTCCGCCCCAGCCTCTGCCTCTGTATCTACATGTGCCTCCGTCCCGTCCCGTCCCGTCCCGTTCCAACCCGGAAGACAGGGTGGGGTGGCGTGTGCTAAGGCGCCATGGCGTAAATCCTGGCGCGCGAGGGGGAGGGGGTACTCAAGACGGTGAATCTCATGTAGGCTACGTGCGAATTAAAGATCTTGCTTAGATGGTTATCTCCCTGGGATGCGCTAGGTTCTTCGCCCATTACACCTAGGCTCAATATTACCAAAGAGTCGTAATACACGTTTATTTCATATCTATGCACATGTATGGAACCACTTTCGGTAACCAAGCTCTTCGAGAAGCGCGTTCACAAACATACGCTATCGGTTCACAAGGGCTGAGCTCATGCCCACCTAGTGGTGAAGAACAAAGCTCAACGTCGCTTTGCGTACACCAGGACGGAACTGTTCCGCGCAGGGCGCGCGCGAGGTGGCTCGCCTGGGCGGCTGCGAACGGAAGTAATGATGGCCTTTTTGTACGGTGCCTCCAGACAAATCGGGCTCACCGGCGGCGGGCGCCCTGCGAGAGTCATGACGATGAGATGGGGTTCGCTACGGGTTGGAAGACCTGTGATCCCACTCATTCGCTGACTCGCAGCAGTCAGTAGCTGATGAGTACAAACATACAAAACACCTTTGAGTACAAAATTGCATGCACGCTACTCGTACCGCGTGACCGGCGTACCCATCTCCCTACCACCTAGCGAACCGACGGCCACATCTGGCTTGTCAACACCCGAGTCAGTCGGTGCCTGCTGGCAATGTCTAGGCATTGCAGAAGCCGACACTGTATGCGACCCAGCACACGGACAACCGCCGCACCGCAAACCTGCAGTCACCGCTGGCGACTCACAACCTCGCCTGACCCACCCAGCACCGCGCTGCGGCACCACAGCGACGGTCAGCGAATACAGTAGATTCACGGATCGCTGGCACCAAACGTGATCTAATGACGTCATGTTTCAAGGTAACACAGAAAATCACCGAGCACTGGCTGCCTGCCGTGGATTAACGATCCCGGTCTCGAAGAGTTTCATCTGGGAGGGCGAGAAGGGCGTCATTTTCGCCGTCCACGCCGACGACAGGACGAAACGAAGCCATCACGCACCTTGTACCCGTTCGCAGAAAACAGTAGTGAACTGCTGTCGCCTGTCAGAGTTGTACATCATCTATCACAAACATAGGGTGCACCGGAGGCCGCTCCTTCCCTAACTCAGCCAACGGCGGGTAGCACTACTTCCAGAACGTAGCGTAGCGGTGTGATACAGGGTGGATGAAGGCCCCATCTGGCAGCGTTGCGAGGTGGGAACTCCCAGCTGCAGATGAAGACAAGAGCCGCGGTGGCCTGTTGGGCCGTTTGGCGGCGCTTCAACCCAGCCTCAGCTTCTAATTCGGACGACGTGGCTTGTGATCCAACAGGTCGTTACACTCGCAACATCATTTTTTCGTGGTTAGCGCGCAACAAGTGCCCGTGATTTTCTGCGTTTTGTCCGCCGTCCGTGCTGGAAAGGATGCCAGCGGTGCGACGACGTGTCCGCGTCCCCTCCGGCGAACGACGGCCCAAGTGTCTGCCGCCCCAACGGCCTGCAGACCCGGGCCGAAACGACAGAGAGCTGACCGGCGGCCCCACCGGGTCACTCGGGTCACTGCAACACTGGCCCCGACGCCCGTCACGGCGGGGAGTCCCCCGCTGTCCGAGGCGGCCCGCGGACGCCTTACCGCGGCCTTAGTCGCGCCCGACCGTGACACGGGTGCAAGCCTTAGTCGCGCCCGACCGTGACACGGGTGCAAGTCGCCCGCGTCGAGGGCGACTGACATACACTCGCGAGATCCCGGCACCTACCAGGTCAAGCATCAAATCCCGACTGGGGTTCCTATTCTGTCCGGGGAGGGGGGGGGGGGGGGGGGGGTCAGCCCGTTCTTGACTTCGAGAAGGATGTCGGTGAAATCCGGGGAAAACCCGTTCGTGGACATATTTTAGGAGTAAGTTGCGTCATTTGTCAATAATCAGCCCTCCCCCCCCCCCCGCCCTTTCGGGAAGTCATTTTGCGTAACTATACCCCGGATACCGGGTCCACGTAACCCAGATTACGTAGTGGCAGCGCATGTAGGAAGGTCATGCGGGATCCCGACACCTTCTAGTCCGGAGTCAGACCCGCACCATTCAGGGTCAGACACACTCCAGTCCGGGGTCAGACCTGCTCCGGTCCGGGGTCAGACCCGCTCCGGTCCGGGGTCAGACCCGCTCCAGTCCGGGGTCAGACCTGCTCCGGTCCGGGGTCAGACCCGCTCCGGTCCGGGGTCAGACCCGCTCCGGCCCGGGGTCAGACCTGCTCTGGTCCGGGGTCAGATCCGCTCCGGTCCGGGGTCAGACCTGCTCTAGTCCGGGGCCAGACCCGTTCCAGTCCAGAATGCGCCGCCGACCCTCGGACCGCGCCGTTCCAGTCACACAATGTCAACGACACTGCTTCGTTTGGCGTCGTCCTCGATGCAGACCGAGTCGTAGGCAGGAGGCTCTTCGGCGATGACGTCGAGGTAAGGCGGCGGCAGGTCGCGCGGGCCCCGGCAGCGGCCGGCCGGAGGGGGCCGCGCCGCCTCGAGCTCGCAGACTGGCACCGGCATGTGCCGCGAGTCTCCCCTGAAACCAAAGGCGGAGGACTCAGACCCCGAACACGGGTCTTCGGGGCAGCACGTGGTAGCTGTCGTTGAGGCAGCTGTCATGCCAGGAAGCCCGGTGCGTGACAACATTAAACACGGCGGCATTTGAATGCTTGCTACGCTTTTGTGCTCCGGATGAGGTGCTGCTGTCAGCAAAAGTGGCCTGATGCTAACGAAGACATGCCGTATGCTAGACACTCGTAACAGACGTTCATCCAGAGTGAGCGAACATGTAATACGCCATTTATTTGTTCTGCCCGTATATTCCTTTAGATATTCATTTAGCTCCCTGTTGAAGGTATCCATCATCGAACACACGATTTCTTAATCGTCGGTCTGCGGTTGCGAATTCTTGATTTTATCACGCCCTCCCCGACCTGTCTCCAGCGTCGAACAGGGCGCAGAATCCGCGGTGACCGATTTCCTACGCAGAATCGGTGGCGACATCCACCGGCGTCAAGGACGGGACAACGCGTACGTGCGTGCGATGGCCAGATATAGCTGCAGCAGTGTGCGTGCACCAGGCCCGGTCTCCCCCATCTCACCGGCAGATCGAGCTGCTGCCCGCGCAAGGCCGGCGGCCTTCGCCTGGCGATGTTCCTCCTCCGCTGCCCCCCCCCCCCCCCCCCCGTTCAAAACCAGAGACAACGCAACTCCTGCACACGTCCCTAGAGCCAGCAGCAGCGTACCTCTGCATGGAAGGGATACCACGGGCCGTCTGACTGGTTACACTACCCATTGACGGCTACTCAACTGGCGTGTGTCTACGTGGTGTGGCACGTAGTAGCGTACACCGGCGGACGGCCGGTGGAAACGATTGTTAACTGCTGAAACTCAGAGCAGGAATAAGCGGCGATTTGCACGCAATGAGGCTTTGCTCGTTTTCCACACATGCAGACGCTGGAAGTGAGAAGTAGTGACCTTGAGGTCGCAACCTTGAACGGAGAAATATGACCGCCGACTCACCGGGGACAAATAGCCCTGTTGGCACGCGGACAGTCAACACGGAACAGATTGCCAGCCCTCGCCGCAGGCGGAGCTGCCAGCTTGGGACTCTGGGGTCATAACGCGCCGCGAAAAATACCGCACGCCATCTGGAAACCCAGGCCGTGTATTTACAACAGATATTTATCGGGAAACGCCATTCCTACCAACGCCGTGCCGTGATCGCACAATATGACTGGCCTCATCGGGAGCTCGTTACACTTGGAGCCTGTGACGTCACACGACGGTTCGCTGACGCTGCCGGCTTGGTTCGCAGCCTAAATACAATGCCAGGGACGGACTCACGCAATGGCTCCTGGGGCCACGTCTCTTCCCTCATGTATATGTGTATGCACAATGTATATGTGCGTATTTATATATATATATATATATATATATATATATATATATATATATGTATGACTATAAGCGAGATGATTTTGGGATTTATTGAAAATGTCGAAGAATTAAATTCGAACAATCGAACAAACGCGCAAGAAACTGATCAACGATACATTTGCCCTGGCGTATAGCAAAACGTGCATTAATGAAAGTATACTGCCTAAGTATACGAATACATTAACACACATAAATGAATATATATATATATATATATATATATATATATATATATATATATATATAGTATAGGTGCGGTTGTGTGTCATAAAAGATACATGTGAACGAATAAGTGCTGACATTTAGTGCTTCGAGGTAAATAGTGTGAATAATCTTGGCATCAAACTTAGCAGTCTGACGGCATGAGAAGTTCAGCGACTTCCAGAAGTTCCACGTGTCTGCAGAGCACTAAACTGGGCTTTCAGTGGAGGTTCCTAAGTTATGTCCCATCCTCACCGCACTGCCAAATTCTGCGTACGGCTCCCTACAATGCATGCATATCGTGCTTCAGAATGAGAACTGTTGAATCTTTGAATATCGTATATAACCATTCGATGCTCGGTTCTATCACAATTATGTCCTTTGCTCCATCTTAAAGTAGCGCGTGCAGACTACAAAATCAGAAGATGCCGTCTGCTTCCATACTGTTTGCTATGATCGTAATTCCCAGCATTTCCATAGCGCGATTAAAGGGATCTGCTGCCATTTAATGCTGCAATCACTGCATAACTTTTGCTCAAATGATATGATCTGAGACGTGCTGGACGGTGCCACTCTATATCTTGACCTTCCGTGCTTCCATCCACCTGGGTACCTACTGCACACTGGGTACCTCCCGTACACCGGGTACCTGCCGTGCACTGGGTACCTACTGTACACTAGGTACCTGCCGTACACTTGGTACTTATCGTACACCAGAGACCGTCGTCATCGCGGGTTGTCCCAAGCGAACGTCACCGCCTTCAAAGTGATGGCACTCAGTTCCTAAACCAGACAATATGGTGGCAAACACTGCACGAGCGCAGACAGGCATCAGCATTTGAAACGCACTTTGGGCTTAAATTATCCACCACAGGGACAGCAGGGGCAGCATGTTCCCAGAGCTCTTGACCACTAAGCTCTCGTGGAGGCAAGAACACTCCGCAGCCTGTTGGGAATTCTAATTGTTTCAGCTGGCTTTCCGGCCAAACTCACGACACCGTGGACCGCTAACCTTCGCAAGAGGACGGAACCCAAGGTTAGTTACACTCGGCGACCCAGCCAGCTGTGGCGGAGAACGGAGAATGGCCCCTCAGCTGCTCGCCTCCACCACTCTCTCTCAGAGTCCCGGCAGGCGGGGCCAGAGAGCGGGGAGCGGCCCCTCAGTTGCTCGCCTCCCCCACTCTCTCTCAGAGTCCTGGCAGGCGGGGCCAGAGAGTGGGAGCGTCCCCTCAGCTGCTCGTCTCCCCCACTCTCTCAGAGTCCTGTCAGGCGGGGCCAGAGAGCGGGGAGTGGCCCCTCAGCTGCGTGCCTCGCCACGTGCTCGCCTCCCCCAGTCTCTCCCAGAGTCCCGTCAGGCGGGGCCAGAGAGCGGGGAGTGGCCCCTCAGCTGCGTGCCTCGCCACGTGCTCGCCTCCCCCAGTCTCTCCCAGAGTCCCGTCAGGCGGGGCCAGAGAGCGGGGAGCGGCCCCTCAGCTGCGTGCCTCGCCACTCCCTCTCAGAGTCCTGTCAGGCGGGGCCAGAGAGCGGGGAGCGGCCCCTCAGCTGCGCGCCTCCCCCACTCTCTCCCAGATTCCTGTCAGGTACTGTCAGCTCATTACGTATTGGGGACCTCGCCTCGGGCCGATACCGGCCGAACGCCTGCAACGGGGCACCGGGCGCGCGCCGGCCGCCGGCGCAGTCGCGGGCTTATTCGGTGCGGCGCCGAGATCGGGGGCCCGCTCGTACTGATGCAAGTCAATCTCTGGCCTGGGCTGGCTCTGCGCGCCAGCAGACGTGGCCGGACGGCCGCGCCTGTCCGGCTGCAGGCGGCGCGTCCGACCGCGCCGCCAAAGCCGCAGGTCCCACGCGGAGACGACGCCGCTCGCTGTCGTGCATGCTATACAGACCGTGGTGGAGGCTGATAGCGTATCGATGTTGAAATGTGCTCTGCGTAAAGGTCAAAGCGCGGACTTCGCGCCCTGTCCCTGAATCGCGCTGGCCGGTTACCACCCAGGTGAGCAGTGTGCACGTGTGAAAAAGGGTTACTGTAGCAAAACCTATGTAATACGCATGTCGTGTCTCACACCACGATGCTATGAATTGCCCGCATACGTTGGTTTTCTCCAATGACGCATGCGTCCCCGGGCTTGCGATGAGCTGCTTTGAGTCATGATCACATGCAAGGTAATCGTTGTACAAAATGTAATCGTTACATGTAATGTGATCGTTACATATAATGCAATTGCTACATATCATGCAACCATTACAATCATATAACCGTTACATATCATGCAGTTGCTACCAACATGCAATTGCTACATTTCATGTAACCATTAAATATCATGCAATGCAATCTCTTCGGCTATTTTGAGCCACCACGAGCTGTTCAGGATGAACGCAACTGCACATGGATAGCCCCAAGCGTCAAACAGGCCGTTTTGAGCTCTCGCAATGGAATGCCATTTCCTATAACTCTTGCAAGCTGACTCGAGTACCGCTAGTTGCTCACTCCAGGTTGCAGGAATGTTCAATGATCTGCGATGCACCGATGTAACTCCTAAGAGCTCAAGCGGTGTGTCACGTGCTTGCTGACGACAGTCCTGCTAAAAGTAACGGGACTTGGGGGGGGGGGGGGACTCAGCGGCTGCGCCGGCCGGGTTTGTGGCCTTCAGTTTCGCCACAGTCAGCGGCGCACCCAGCCACTCCTCAGAAACAGACGCTTCCCGGCTACCATGGACGCTGTGCGCTCCTCGTGTCTGACACAGCTTCCCGGCCACCAGGGGCGCCGTGCGCTCCTCGTGTCTGACACAGCTTCCCGGCCACCAGGGGCGCCGTGCGCTCCTTGTGTCTGACACAGCTTCCCGGCCACCAGGGGTGTCGTGCGCTCCTCGTGTCTGACACAGCCTCCGGGCCACCAGGGCGCCGGGCGCTCCTCGGTCCAACACAGCTTCCCGGCCACCAGGGGTGTCGTGCGCTCCTCGTGTCCGACACAGCTTCCCGGCCACCAGGGGTGTCGTGCGCTCCTTGTGTCCAGTACAGCTTCCCGGCCGCCATGGGCGCCGTGCGCTCCTCGTGTCCCACACAGCTTCCCGGTCACCAGAGGTGTCGTGCGCTCCTCGTGTCCGACACAGCTTCCCGGCCACCAGGGGTGTCGTGCGCTCCTCGTGTCCAACACAGCTTCCCGGTCACCAGGGGTGTCGTGCGCTCCTCGTGTCCAACACAGCTTCCCGGTCACCAGGGGTGTCGTGCGCTCCTCGTGGCCGACACAGCTTCCCGGCCACCAGGGGTGTCGTGCGCTCCTCGTGTCCAGCACAGCTTCCCGGTCACCAGGGGTGTCGTGCGCTCCTCGTGTCCAGCACAGCTTCCCGGCCACCAGGGGTGTCGTGCGCTCCTCGTGTCCAACACAGCTTCCCGGCCGCCAGGGGAGCCGTGCGCTCCTCGTGTCTGACACAGCCTCCGGACCACCAGGGGCGCCGTGCGCTCCTCGTGTCCAACACAGCTTCCCGGCCACCAGGGATGTCGTGCGCTCTTCGTGTCAAACACAGCTTCCCGGCCAACAAGGGCGCCGTGCGCTCCTCGTGTCCAACACAGCTTCCCGGCCGCCATGGGCGCCGTGCGCTACTCGTGTCCGAAACAGCCTCCGGGTCACCAGGGGCGCCCAGCGCTCGTCGTGTCCAACACAGCATGCGCCAGTTTGGCAGTGCATGCGTGCTCTCCAAAAGCAGCGAGTGGGACGCGCCCCCTCCTGCAACTGGCGCGGGCCAGCCTCCGATCGGAGGGTCCGAGGTGTGAAAAGTCCGGAATACACCTGTGGCACCAGCCTTCCAACCCCATCTCTCTGCGACCCTGCAAAGAGTCTGTACACACCTCTTGACCCCAACTTCCTCCGACCGTGCCAGAAGTCTGTACTCAGACAGCTTCCAGGCGCTGCTCTGCAGGCTGAGGCCTCTGTCAGGAGTGAAGAATGCAGAGAAAAACTTTTGCGACAAAGCCGCTGGAACGGGTATCTTTTAACCGGTACTTTTTCAGTGGAATGCGGCGCGGTCGTGTCACAGGAGCCGCGCAGCGTTCTCCGCCCCTGGCCCGCATGACAGGGCCTAGGTTTCGTCTGGGACGGACTCGGACGTGTCAGCCGTACCGATCAAGAAGGTCTGGGCTTCTGAGCGAGAGAGAGAGAGAGAGAGAGAGAGAGAGAGAGAGAGAGAGAGAGAGAGAGAGAGAGAGAGAGAGAGAGAGAGAGAGAGAGAGAGAGAGAGAGAGAGAGAGAGAGAGAGAGAGAGAGAGAGAGAGAGAGAGAGAGAGAGAGAGAGAGAGCCGCGGCGTACCGTGTGATGAGGCACCAGAGGACACACGGCGTAAAGCCAGAGAATCTGAGCACCGATCCAGGAGGGGTGGGGCGCCTGAGAGAGAGCCGCTGCGCATCGAACGATCAGGCGCCAGAGGAGAAGCGGCGCAAGGCCAGAGGATCTCAGAACGGAATCAGAAACAACAGCAATGGGAACCCTCAGCAATGGCCGCGGCATACGAGATGTGTCCCCCACAACAAAAAGGCCGAGTCACCAGAACCTAGGGGGAATGGGCCGCCACAGATGGTTCGTGAGAGCGTCCTCCCAGATAAGATTGTCCTGCTGTCTGTCGCCGCCTGCCGATGAATGGCGTCCAGTCGGCGGAGCAGCCGCGGCAGCCGTGTTCGTTTTCTACAGCTATCTGAGCTCTTGCCGTAACTCCTGCTGATAACATCACACTTAGCACCACATTGCATCACCTTTCGCAAGTCAACAGCTCTTCCCGGCCACTAGGACACGATGCCTTTATCTTTCGTTCAGATAACTTAACCTTTCGTTCAGATAACTTAACCTCTCGTTCAGATAACTTAACCTTTCGTTAGGATAACTTTATTTTTCTGCCAGGTACCGTTATCCTTAGGCCAGATACCATTATATTTCGGTCAGTGTTGTAACTGGAGTCAAAGCTAACGAACGGAAACGAAAGGAGAGTGTTTGCACCCACCAACAGGGTCTTCATCGGCGTTTGAGGTGTAATAAACGAATACTGAATGCTGAAACTGCACGTCTGCGAAACTTGCAGCCGAGCGTTTCCACATCGGGTACGTCCGTACGTACAGGTAGGGTACGTGCGAACATACATACGTCAAACGTGCTTACAGGCGGAATTCCAGGACGCGCCACCAAGGATGGCCGCATAACGCAAGACCACCATACAACGGGCTTCAAATGTCTACGATTACATCCGCCGGTACTGGACCCAGCTGTCAAGTAAAGTTGGCCGTCTCCGACCTGTAACCTGCCTGATGACCAGCCCGCTGAGCCCGCGCGATTTCAACGCGCCCCCGTCTGGTTCATGAGGTCGGCCAGATCACGTATTTGAAAATTGGAATGTCAGCTAAGTTGCAATGCATAGGAAGACCAGAACAAATGCCAGATTAAGTGGCCATACGTCAGAAAGTTAAAAGATAAAAGTATTTAAAGTACCTAAGCTTTTTAGCGGCCAGTCAGTCATCGCAATGTTCACGAACTGGTCCAAAGCCCGCACAAGACCCCGATTTGAACGCTTATAGCCTATAAGCACGCTTAAGAGCGCACACAGCACGCTCAAGAGCGCACAGGAACGCAGAGAGGATGAAACAAGAGCATAACAATAAGCTGAAGACATAATGAGAGAGGAGGAAGAGACGGAGGGTGAGAGGCCCCAGATGACACAAGAGCGCAGTAGCACAGAACTGTCCCGCAGAGTGGAAGACAGACATTGGGAAAGAAGAGGAAGAGATGGGGTGGACGAGACCCGCGGGAGAGCCGCGCGAGCCGGCGGCGGGCGTCCGCACCTGTCACGTGGCTCCGCCGGCCCGTCCTGCCGGTGTCGTTGACGGTACGCGTACACGAGCCCGACTGAGGCCGATGCAGATGAGCGCGAGGACGGCGCTGAGCGGCACCAGCGGGCCGCCACCCAGCGGACCTGCCTCGGCCTCCTCGGACAGCCGCCGGCTCTCCAGGTCGGCCTGGTTCAGGCCTGGCGCCGGCCGGCCCGGCCCCACGCTGTCCGGGCAGGCACCCGGCCAGCCGTTGGCACACAGACACGCGCGGAACAGCAGCGGCGCCGCCTGCTCGCTGGTTCCGGAGCGGGCCAGCAGCGCGCGGCACGTGTGCAGCACGCGCAGCGTCGCCTCCGACATCGCTGTCGACTGCGTCGGCGCAGCGCGCACCGCGACACCGTACTGAGCCCAGCTGTCCACGTGCGGCCCCTGCACACCTCGGCCGGCCGTGGCCGCTTTGTGTGTAATCCGCGGCGAGCGGCCCGGCCGTCGGCGGCGCCACGGCCGGCCGGCAGGGGCGTGTGCAGCGGTCGGCGGTGGCGGCGCGCCGCGCAGGCGCCGGCTGCCGCCGTCGGACCGCGACGGCGAACGGCCTTGGCTGTCGCGAGAGGGCGCGGCCGTGCGGCGCGGTGGGGGGAGGGGGTGTGCGCGGCCAGTGATCCCGCGTGTGCCCGCTCGCAGGTCATGCACTTTGCGGAGTTCCGAGGCGGCTTCACGTGTAAGAGGCTGGCACTCCTTCCACAGTAGGCTCCAGCCAGGCCCACGTATTGGGCGTCTCATGCGGTTATCGTTTGTAGGGAACAGGGCTGGTCTGGCAGCGAGCTGTGCCCTGCCCACTGCAGGTGGAAGTTAGGTATTGTGTGACACGATGAATGGCTTGCAGGGATGTCAGAACCAATATTATGTCGTTTCTATTAAACAACATTTTCCGCTATAGGTGGAAGCTGCAAGATCTAAAAGGGGTTTGACAAACCAAAACATATTTTTGGGCTAAACACGCATAAAACGCTGGCATACCCTACTGTACCATTTTTGCCATCTGTCCTCTGTCGTTTGCTGCGCTCGAACTGCCATGTTGCAGCACACGGTCTCATAAGCAAACGTTCAGTGCCGTCAGTTCTGTTTACACTTGAGCTCAAAACACCGTTTGTTGACTTACAGGGACCTTTTCTGTGAGCTCCGCTGGACTTTCGATCACGGTTGTCAAGCAGAGCTGATCATAGATGGAATGTCGGTATCCAGTCCAATCCAACCCTCCCAGTCATGAAGCCAATGGAACCTTCAACGTGTCGCTTGAAAACCTCGAAATGCAACTCGGCTCAAGCCCTCGTGGCAAATCCACTTTCTATTCACCTTTTGAATAAATCTACCACGCTTCAGCCGGGCTTAACATAAAAGGTAAAATGAAACACGACACATTTACCACGTCTGGAACTTACAATAGACATTTGTGACGGTTTCAGTGCATTTAAGGCAGCCTGTTTGCCCTCAATCAATTTGAATTCGTGTAACTTGGAGCTTTTAAAACCAGCCTCCGATCCATTCTAGCCCAATTCACCTATTAGATCCAAATACAAGGATACGCCTTATTCCCGAAAAAGCTCTACTGCCAAGACATCCATGAACCTAATTAAGCTTTTCGGACTGTCTGCTGTCTGGTTTGCGACTGCTGTCTGCTGTCTGGTTCTGGTCCCCGTCACAGGCGGCCCTGATGACGAGGTCCAAAGCGGACGGTGACGTACTTCCCTGACGATTTCGATTATTCACATTCTTTGTGACGTCTAGCTCACGAAATGTCATTCTAGTTCCGATCATGTATGGGCTAGATCCGGTTTGCTGACTACCTACGCGGCATTTCCGTGGCACACTTTCAACACAAAAGGGCAAACATCGTGTCCTTTTCCTGCTGATCAGTCGTTTACGTCAGTACGGAAAACTATACACCAGCTGTTCGAAAGGTGACGCGGCGGCGGCCGGTCCCGGGCAGCGTCGAGCAGCCACGCTCTGCTGGCTTTAGCACATTCCCGTGAGGTCGATCATTCCAGGCCATCGGTGCCATCTCTGGGCTGCCACGGCGGCCCGCCCGCGGACCGCGCTGTTGACACAGGTGAGTCTCCATCTCGGCTCAGGTCAGAGCGCCGCTCACCGGCGGCCGTCTTTGCGACAGCGAACAAGGAACAGCAGCAAGGGCACGCCGGCCAGGTCACGTGATAAAAAAACATGGAGAGGGATCCAGTAGTAACGTTGACGATTGGCAAGCAAATAAGCCAGAGCAAGACTAAAACCTCTGTAACAGAAAAAGATGGCAAGTAGAGGGGGTATTGAAGAAGGGAAAGATGCCGACGTCTGGCAGCGCAACTGTGTCGAAACTGTGTTTTAACAACGTGACCAACCAGCGCTTGCTTCAAGACGTCGCGTGGTTTGCACATCCTGCTATATTGCAGGTCGATTATTGTCAGCATAGGAACTCTAAACGCGTAATCATGATAAAGATACGATGAACCGGTACATTTCTATCGGGACAGTTTTGAACTAACTAGGACCGAAGATGGTCATGTGTATGGTACTCTGTCTAAGTTATACATGCGTAATTTATAAGTTGATAATTACCTCGGGTAGGCTGTCATTATAACTGGCTCACAATTTTGTTCCATACTTGTGGAAAATCTTGTAAAAGAACTCATTTGAGTGCTTTTTCATAACGTGGTAACTCAGCTTGGCTTGCTCCCTCTTAAGAGCGCTCTTAGTCCGGCCAGCGCCGTGCACGTGGGGGACGTGAGGGGCATGCTGCATATAACTGCGCGCTGCGCTCTTACGTCGCGTATCCCGTCCCCACGTGCTCGCGCTATGGCTGCGAGCGTGCGTTGAGCGCGTGAGGCTTGCTGTAACCGTTGGCATTGTACACTGATGCTTGCTGTGGCCGTTGGAATCATACGCTGATGCTTGCTGTAGCCACTGGCGTTGTACAGGCGTACGTCTGCAGCACCTGAGGCGGTGCTCGCTGCGCATGCGCGCCGGTCCGTCATACCGTGATGCGAGATTTTCATGTCATGCGGATAGGCGAAAGGCCCAGAATTTTGGTATAAACAACGAAATTTGAAAGTGAACGCTTCTTCTCTAACTGGGGCGTCACTAAACATGCTGTCAGGGAGCCTAAAGCCCCTCTTCTACCAACTAATGCTGACTTGAGCTCTCTTAATGCTTTGCAGAGCCCCCTCAATGCATATGAGGAAAAACGGAATGCTGGCTAAAAAAGGTGTAGTAAAATTATTTTACCTATTGGTTCACTAGGTATCTATATACATCAGTATCATATTCATTGTGTTCCAAATAATATCCTGTAGGTACCAAATGATGTTGTAGCCAACTTCCGCATGTGCTAGGCCAGTTTGGAAATGCTTGCCAAGCTTTTCATTTCATAACTTCTGGATTGAGATGAGGAGCAAATTACTGCAATATTTTCAAAGTACAGGGTGTCCATATGAAAGTAAATCCGTGTTTCCGTTAACAGCAGTGGCAAGTGTTTTCGTCGCAGTGCATGGGTCTCCCCGCCCTACCGGAACCACTCTCGTTCCGACCCATGTCAAGAAGTCGCCCCAGGGTCACCCAGACGGGTATCGCAGCGGCAGCCATGCTACACTCTAAGGTGATCCTGACAAGGTACTCGTCCCCGTTCTTGCGAGGCATCTTCTGCATGGTCACAATTTGAATAATGTGAGATCACTGATGAATACCATTTTTCTGCCACGTCTGCTTCTTTTGTAAATATGATTTGACGAATGTGAGATCACGGATGACTACCATTTTTTAACATCTTAGAATATGCTTGCCACTGTTCATCCAGATACGAGTTAAATTTTATCTGGGCCACCTCTTAATAACGATTGTTTCACATAGACGCAGTCAACGTTTCCGCAATGCTGGACACGGTCCAGCCCGTCTTCTGGCGTTGTCTGACTGCTGGCGCTGCCGCTGTCACCAGTCGCGGACTATCTCAGCCGGAGACAAACAACGAGCGCCTCAAGAGACTCGGACCCATCCTACCGCGGGCCTGTAAATCGGAAGGAAGGCGCGTTGACCAGCTGAGCTGTCGGGACGGTCTAAAGAACGCTGCGGGTCCGGAGGATTTTCAGCGCAGTTCGGCGGTGCAACCTCCGCCTGATTGTACCATAAAAAGGCTGTCGAGAAATGGAATCAACACATTTGCTGCGGTGTATTCTAGGGTGAAAGAAATACTGTGGCCGTGCTGCTTGACATCTGCAAAGAAAAGCGGCCATGAGCTCAGCATTGAAAAGTTGAGTTTCTTTATCGCAACCAATGATTTTTGAAAGCGTCGTTTAACCACTACTCTCTGGTAAACCGAAGGTCGATTGCTTTCGACACGGGAAATTCCTACTGATCACCCAGAACACCAAGATTCAAGGCCTTGCTGTCTAAATCAACTTCCAACACGTGTCAAAATCCTGTTCACGTTATTTCTTAAGACGGTCACTCTAGAGACCCATTTGATCACCAGAATTTACCTACGCTGTCTTTCCTGTTACCGACATATCTATCGAGAAAGTGTTGTAGATTCAGTTTTGCCTTAATAGATAGGCATATCTTCGCAGAATGCTCGAAAATTTTCCATGGGCTCTCCTACGTGCGCGTAAGGCCACGCCATCACAGATAAAACTGCTTTTACGACTCGGGCATCGTTCGATGATTGGTGAACAACAGCTATTTTTGCTTACCACAATAGCTGGAATTACAAAAAATGTGTCACCTGTGAAGCACATCCCATTTTTAGCCTTTTGCAAAAATTCAGCCTCGTAATGCATCGACTTGAAGTGGGAAGTAGTTCATTCGCACCAAAACATGTTTTGAATCGACAAGGTTACAGAAGACACCGCATTCCGGGGAAATCTCAAGTTGTGAGGAAAGGCTTGCGTCAACCTTGTCGGCTCAGCCTCCCCCCCCCCCCCCTCCTTACCGATTTTAGTCTTGCATGTCCTAGCAACCGCTTATGTTAAATACTCCTTTGCATTTGAGTTTGTGTGCGTGTGTGATTTGGGCTTTACGACGCACTCAGCCGCTGAGGCTATATGGCGTCGCCTGCCTCTCACCCTGGCGGGAAGGGCGGGCACCGCGGGCAATCGAACCCCGCGGGGAATTGAATTTGAGTTTGAGAGAGAGCAAAAACAAGGTGACATGTGGAGATGAATGAATTCGTTCCGCCCACACATTGTCTGGCCTAATCACCCACACAGGCGTGGCTTCGCCTTCCATCTTAGAATCCTTCCAACGCGTCGTGGTAAGAACAGTGAAGTGTGCTATTCACTTGCACAGTGATTAAAGTATCGGTCACGCTTTAACAGTGGATGGCCGACGGTTTGTGTTCATGAACGGGGTACGTTTGCCGGGGTCCTGATAAGGCATTCTGTTTGCATTTTATATTCTCCATCAC